ACTGAGTACATGTCCCCATATGTGCCCATTAGTATGTGAATGATACAAATCTGAGATTCTTGAAATACACAGAAATTTCAGGCAAAACCACACTTTTACTTAAAAGACCAGAAACATTTCTTCATTCAATCAAATAAACATTTACTAAAGCCAGGTACATGATGCATGCATGTAATCACAGTGACTCAGGAGGCTGAGGCAGGAGGATTGCAAGGTCAAAGTCAGCCTCAGCAACTTAGTGAGGCCCTAGGCAACTTAGTAAGGCTCTATCTCAAAGTAAAAAATAAAAAGAGATGGGGATGTAGCCCAGTGGTAAAGCACCCCTGGGTTCAATCCCTTGGGCAAAAAAAAAAAAAAAAATTTACTAAGGGCCTTCCACCTATAGGAACCACTTCACCAGGTGCTAAGACATTAAAAATACAAACAAACCCCCCCCAAAACTCCTGTCTTGGGGGAACTCCCATCTCAGCTATGGAGAGAAGTAAAGAGACAATTTTAACAGAGCCTGGAATAGCAGTTCTCAAAATGTGGTCCCTGGACTAGCAGCATCAACATCACCCGCAGGCTTGTGAGAAATGCAAAATCACAAATCTGAGTAAGGGCACCAGGCTTTTTTTTTTTTTTTTTTTTTTTTTACAAGCCCCCCAGGTAACCCTGAGACATATTCAAGTAGGGAAACCACTGACCTGTGCACTGGGACAAACAGTGTAGGCTCTAGGGAACACAATTGGCTTTAATACTAGAATTCTAACACTTACTAGCTTTATGCTTATTTGACCTCTCTGTGCTTCAATTTCCTCATGTACAAAATATGGGATGAAAATGTCTTAGGGGTTCTACTGAAGACAAGAACTTTGCTAAAGCATTGTGTTAACACCAATGATAACACAAGTACACAATGACAGGTCCAACAACCTTCAGTACTCTATTGGCATTCTTATTGTTTTTATTATCACCAGTAGCATGGTGCAGGTATGAACAGGAGGCTAAGAATGCCCAGAAGAGCAACACTGAACCTGGGCTGGCAGTCAGGGAGGATTTTCAGAGGAGGTGATGTCTGAGCTGAGAATTTAAAGGTAAAAAAACAGCAGCCAGGTAAAGATACATTGGAAGGGCAGAAAGGGCAGAAGAAACAGCATCTTCAAAAACACTCCAAAAGAGAGAAAACAGGAAGCTAGACATTTAGCTAGCAGTATAAAAGACATCCAAGGAGCTGGGTTGTCAAGGAGGGTGAGATTGAGGGCAGCAACTAGGAGGGATGTTTTAAAGCTGTGGGAGGATATTCTGAGGGAGGGAGTTACAGAGACAGGGCTGGAGACACAGGAAGGGAGAGATGCCCCCCCAGGGAGGTCTCAGCACAGGGAAGAGAGCCTGCCAGAAACCAGTGGAGGGACCAGCCCTAGGCAGCACAGGACACTGTTTTTATCCTATGGGGAGGAGGAATCAGAACAAGGATGGCTCATCTCCAATAGGTGTGCTGGCTGTGGGGACAGAAATCAGGACTGGAAAGATGGTTGCCTGGGTTCTCCAGTCTCCAGCAAAGAAGAGGCAGCAGAGTGTGTGGTGCGAACTCTCACAGTAGAGTGGACTGGGGCTAGGGAAACGACCCTTCGAAGGAGACAGCCCAGGGCTCCCAGCCTGCTGGCCTAGAGCTGGGAACCCAGCAGGTGCCTGGCAAGGGTGGGAGTCCGGGGAGGGAACTGGGAGGAAGGAAACAGAAGGGTAAAGGGCTGCACCAGGCGGTGAGAATGGTAAGGAAGGAGGCAGAAGATGGCAAAAGGCACACATTCGGAGAAATGCCCCTGTGTGTCATTTGGGGTAGAGCTTGGGGACCTGGGCACTTCTTATCTAAGATGTCATATCCCATCCCAGCTTGCACAACTACTCAGAGACCTTGGTTGAGCAGTGCAGAGGCCTAGGAGGCTGCTTAGGCAAGGGACAAGAGCCCTGTCCCAAATCCCAGCCCTCTTCCTTGCCTCTCCAGCACCTCTGCACAGCTCTGCCCATCCCAGGCTCTAGGTCCTACGGGCACTAGTAAGAATGAGAAAGACACACACGGACTTTTACTTTTCAAAATATGCTAGTCATTCTATTTAAGAAACTTTATAGGTGAACATTTTTTTCTTCATAAACTGTCATTGCCTCTGGGGTATGCAGCTTACAAAACCCTTGATAATTATAAACTTCTATCAAACTCTACCAACAAGCTAACCTAGAAAAAAAATCTCAAAACTATGTAAGATTGGGCTGGGGTTGTGGCTCAGCTGTAGAGTGCTTGCCTAGCAAGTGTGAGGTACTGTGTTCGAGCCTCAGCACCATATAAAACAAGTAAATAAATAAAATAAAGATTAAAAAAATATGTAAGATGAGCTGGACACAGTGGTGCATGCCTGTAATCCCAGGGACAAGGGAGGCTGAGGCAGGAGGATAGTGAGTTCAAACCCAGCCTCAGCAACTTAGTGAGGCCTTAAGAAACTCAGTGAGCCCCTATCTCTAATATATAAAAAAGGGTTGGGGATGTGGTTAAGCACCCTTGGGTTCAATCTCTGGTACCAAATCAAACTAAACCAAACAAAAACAAACTAGGGCTGGGGTTGTGGCTCAGTGGCAGAGCGCTTGCCTCACACTTATGAGGCGCTGGGTTTGATCCTCAGCACCACATAAAAATAAATAAATAAAATAAAGGTACTGTGTCTGTCTACAACTAAAAATTAAAAAAAAAACTATGAAAGATGTACTCCTAAAAACACTTATAGGCTGCCATTTTGTTTCAATGGAGATATCTTGATATGCAGTGAGGCACATACTAAAATCCACTCGGATCAGTCAATGTTCTCTAGACTTTTTAGGGAACTTAATTCGATACTGAGCAAACTAGATGAAAGAGACACAACTAAATTTGGTTATTAATGTTTTATTTTAAAGCGCCTAAGATCCAAGTATTGTTGATTCAAAAGTTTTACCTGCAAATGCTATTCAAACTAGAAACTGTTTAAAATCATCACAATGGGGTGGTAATCATAAATGCTTTAATAAGGTGAAATTTTAAATAATTGTACAGGTTCTCTTTATATGAGATAAAGAAAATTTTAACTTTAACATTTTAGAAAACCACAGTAGAATGAATCTGACATAACACTCCTATGTTCATGTATAAATACATGACCAATGTATCTCCACATCATGTACAATGACAGGAACGGGAAGTTATACTCCATGTATGTATACTGTGTCAAAATACACTCTACTGTCATGTATGCCTAAAAAGAATAAAGAAATTAAAAATTTAAAAATAAGAAAAAAAAATTTTAAAAAACCACACAGAAGGAACAGAACATCGTACCTGACAATGGGTAAGGATATCCAAAACGGTTTTCTGCTCCTCATCATTGTAGGATGTGTCCGATAGGACATTTTCCTGCTATAATATTTTAAAAGTAAGCAGTTAATGCTTTGTTTCAGTAAGACTCCCACTGAATGCTAGGGGAGAAAAAGGACTTGATATTTATCTCTTTAATATTGTTTTTATTTTCCATCAACCTTTCAAAAGACAATTTAAAGCAGAGACAAAAATTCACATTATTCTGATAATGGAAATGATAACTGCCCATTAAGAAAGGGATCACAGGGGCTGGGGTTGTGGCTCAGTGGTAGAGTGCTTGCCTAGCATGTGTGAGGCACTGGGTTCCATCCTCAGCACCACATATAAATAAATAGTTACTATGTCCATCTACAGCAACAACAACAAGAACAAAGTGTGCTTTCCCTGTCTCTTTTAAAAGAGTCTGAAGACTCACCCTGTACTGAGCTGAGTCCCCAATTCCCCTCACAAAATGAGATTTGTGGGTGTTTGTGGGAATTTTCACCAATGTAGAAAAATTCTTACATTGCTGTCTCTTTTTTTTTTTATCTCAGTACAAGAAAACAGTACATCCAAAGGAAAAAAGGAACAGGGGGGTGTCAGGGAAAGAATTTATCGGAAGAAACTAGGTTTGGATTACCAGTACGAAACTGCTCTGAATTTCCTAGGACAAGGGAGAAGCAAAATGGTTAAGAGCTTATTGTCTAAGGAAAGAAAGCATACAAACTCAGCAGAGAAACAGTTCCTTGAGTGGGAGTTTAAAGGACTTCCATAGTACATAAAAAATTGAGCTGCGTGCGGTGGCACATGCTTGTAATCCCAATGGCTCTGGAGGCTGAGGCAGGAGGATCATGAGTTCAAAGCCAGCCTCAGCAAAAACAAGGTGCTAAGCAACTCAGTGAGATCCTGTCTCTAAATAAAATACAAAATAAGGCTGGGGATGTGGCTCATTGGTCGAGTGCCCAAGTTCAATTTTTGGTACCCCCCCAAAAAAAAGAACTGAAATTTTTTTCTTTCAAATGGCAAATTTTAACATACTTGTCAACTAGCAATTAATATTACTTACGTTATTGAAAAATGTAGTGTTTGGCTCATATGCATAAAGAACAGTGTTATCATCATCATCTTCCTCTTCATAAGTTGGTATTTGTGTTTTGATCTGAGGAAAATTATTAAATAACTTAATAGGAAAGATAAAATACAAACTAAAAGAGATGTTGGGAACTTTAACTTCATTTTGAAGAAGCTTCAAAAGCCTATTACTGATATCAAAGGACCTATGCCTACTGTAAACACTGACTACACAAAAAGATGTACTTGCAGAACTGTGTTCTCATTAACCCCACTACACTACTGCACCATCTCCAGAGAGCTGAACCCCTTTTGTGCTTCAGGGTGGGAAGACTAGTCTTCTGCACTAAAACTGCTTTAAAAGCAAACATTTTTAACCATGAACAAAAGATAAAATGTTCCATGGCTTCTAATGACCTGATTTTTAAATAGTCCAATAGTGCCACTCTGTGGACAAAACAGAACACACTCAGGCACTCACTTTTTCTTGATAAATGAATCTCTAAATTACCTTAAAACATTCTTGGAATAAGACAAGGTAAAAATAAGTAAGGGAGTGTAAATAACTACTATGTTTTGGTATAAGTATTTATTCCAAGAATAAGTCATGAACTCTAGGAATAATTTTAAAATAAACACACATGGTAGCTATGTATGTCTTTGTTTCAAAATATATCATACATATTATCTGGATTCTCCTTGCACTGATAGGCAACCAAAATAATATGGAATTGGGGTATAGACTATGACCTATAAAATATTCTATCTCTTGTATAGTGCCTTATGCTTTTCAAAGTGTTTTCACATAATTTTGTTAAAAATGACTCTTGGTGGATATTTAATATTATTTCCAAAGGTGAAAAACATTAGGGCTAATGCAAGTTAAGAGTCACACAGACTACTTAGATGGCATTAATAGTCATTTCCTTATGTGACTAAATAAATGTGTTTTCTGTTAGGCCTCATTATGTATGCTTTAATATATTTTGGTTCAATTTGTAAGGATCAAGAAACAGCAGAATGTACTAGAACTGCAAAATTAGCACAATCACCTTGAAAAACTGTTTGGCAGAGTCTCATAAAGTTAAATTTACATCAACTCTTTAACCTTGCAATTCAACTTCTGGGTATTTACCCAGAAGAAATGTGAGTGGAAGCTCACAAAAAAACTTGCACACCAATCTTCACAAGAAGTATTATATATATCAGTCAAAATTCATGGTGAAAAATTTACTTAGGATCTATGCATAACACTATATGAAATTAAAGTGAATTTAGAAAACAATGACAGCACAACAAAAGGAATAAAGACATTTCAATTTGAATACAAACCACATCCATCTCACTGGAACAATTAGACATCATTTCTGTGTATCAGCAGATGGTCCACTTCCAGTGAGTTGAGCCTAATTAATTTTAAACTTGCTGAAGGGTTTATTTGTAAAACTGCTTAGTCACCTAAGACTGGTAAACCTCCTACTCCTGAAAAGCAATGCATAAAAAAGTTACTGTACACATTTACTACCTAAATAACTTTAATGTGGATATGTTCGAGAATAGCACTTCAAACTTAAGCTTTGTTTGAATTTTAAAGAGCGACAAAACAATTCTTCCATAGAAACTTAGAATAACTCTTTAAAAATGAAAGGGTTGGGGCCAACACAGTGGCGCATGCCAGTAATCCCAGCGGCTCAGGAGGCAGAGGCAGGAGGATCTCGAGTTCAAAGCCCAGCCTCAGCAAAAGCAAGGTGCTAAGCAATTCAGTGAAACCCTGTCTCTAAAGAAAATACAAAATAGGGCTGGAGATGTGGCTCAGTGGTCCCTGAGTTCAATCCCTGGTCCCCCCCCCCCCAAAAAAAGTGGGAAAACAAAAAGAAACAAAAATCAACTCACCTATTTGAAAAAGTTTTTTAAAAACCCACAAAAAACAAAAAACAAAACAAAACAAACAAGAAAGGGCTACACTGCCCAGGTCTAGGAATAAAAATCAAAGTTAAGCCAGGCACGGTGGCACACGCCTGTGATCCCAGTGGCTCAGGAGAGCTGAGGCAGGAGGATCATGAGTTCAAAGCCAGCCTCAGCAAAAACTGAGCTGCTAAGCAACTCAGTGAGACCCTGTCTCTAAATGAAATACAAAATAGGGCTGGGGATGTGGCTCAGTGGTCGAATACCCCTGAGTTCAATCTCTGGAACCTCTCCCTGCTCCCAAAAAAAAATCAATTCCAAATTGCTTAACAACTTAAAGTCCCCAGAGTACTGGGAACAAGTGAACAATAGAACACCACTGCTAACTGCTTTTGTAAAGGAGTTCAAAAGGCCTTTTTAAAAAATCAAACCCCCAAGGCCTTGTGCCTGCAAGGCAAGCACTCGACCCACTGAGCTATATCCCCAGCCCATCAAAAGGGCTCTTGACCTGGGGAGGCAGCATGCCTCTAAAAGGAGCACCAGGAGT